TTCCTCATCCCATCCTTGCATAGAGGTATGTTTACAATGAATAATAATGTTCATTTTATTATACGTATATTATTTGTTTTTATGATTAGCATTTATTTTCAAACTGACGTCTGGATTTGGTCTAAAAACATTATGGTACCTAACTCAACTCTATCCATAATATTGTATCTAATACATCTGAGCACTAAGGCGAATAATTGACTACAGACATACTTGAAATCTTATATCTGAACCTGATCTTTTACAAAACGGTAATTTATTTAATTTTTACAGTAGGCAGTAGGTACCACATTGTACATTTAAGAACTTTATATGACGATATAACGAGCTTCTAGCCTTTTAGGTCATAAATATCGTGCTTACTGCGATATCATTCATTGATGAATGGCACAAAACTAATTTATTAGAGTGCAATTTTTTTCATACATTGCTATTGTTCTTTAATTGTCCCTGTTGACAAGTATGTGGGACCTTCCGGAGAATTAAAAGATCAAAACGGACGTTGAGGAACAAACTGGCTGGAAGTATAATTTATGCAACATCCTATATTTATTTTAATTCCTATTTAAATAAAAGTCGCACAAAGTAAGATTGAAAACTTAGTATACRGCATTATTTTTATACTCCGGATGTCGATGTTTCAATAGAATTTATTTATATTTTAAAAAATGTGTTTAATATAATAAGTATTAGTGAGCCTAYTTATCATTTTGCATTTTACCGATTCGAAATAAAATCGACAAAGTACAATTATTTTATAAAATATAAATGATTTGAATATTTTACATTTGAATTAAGTCACCCGGTGTCAATATCATCGCATTTTGTACACAAAAATAAACTCTACGTGATTTATTATTCTATCCTCTACAATTAATCTACTTTCAGAAAAAATTTAAAAAAATGTATTTAATATTATTAAAAACTAAAAGTAAAAAAAAAAATAATAATAATAGTATGGTTAGAAAATGTATGACCTTAAAAATATTTGCAAAAATGTATATTGTAACGATAGGAGAAAATAGAGTTTGAGAAGGAGAAGGGCTGAAGCCCTACTATAATAATAATATTGAATGAACTTAAAAAAATTAATTCAATGTTTGAGAGAAATTATCCCCTGAAGCCCCTTCCCTAAGAGTGCCAATTGTTTTAATACACTTTTTTTAAATTGTTTATACTGTAGATAATTTTCTTATATTTCAGATTTCAAATAACATTAATTCGATTTACCTAAAGTATAATATATTTTTTAAGCAATAAAAAATAAAACAATTTTCAATACATTTTATATTGATTAATATAGGTATGGTGTTTAATTGTTACACTATTGTTAAGACATATTTCAATATTTGCATACAKTTTTAGAGTTTTTGATGACATATAAACATTCTAACCTTAATCATTCCCTATTCAACACGTACCTTTTGTCCCTTCTTATAATTCCATTACTGATATTCCCTTCGGGCGTAACACGTTTCTATCAAAAGAAGACCTTCTCTTTTCCACCAATACCCGATTCCACCAAAGGTGTATCTTTCCCTTTTCCACCAATATCCGTTACCACCAAATGATATCTACCTTTAATATTAAACCATGGTTAATCTACCAAAATAATTTGTATACTACGCTTATATTAAAATCTTTAATACAGTAATAAGTTTATTTAAAATACTAAATCTGGATTTAAAAAATTATATATTAGTGTATTTAGTTATGTATAATATATTGTATCTATATGTATATATTATATCTATATGTATATTTCTATGTACTTATATACATAATTTGTTGATATTTTTTTTCAATCATAGAATATAGTAGTATACAATTGTTTTTGYAAAATCGGGGTAAATAATTTTGTTTGGTGGAAAAGGGAAAGATACACTTTTGGCGGAAACGGGTATTAGTGGAAAAGGGAACGGTACACTTTTGGTGGAAACGAGCATCGCCCTTCCCTTCAATACCCAAAATATTTTACCTACATATAACAAACAGTTATACATTTATCTTTTTCATTATTTATTTCCTTCTTTTAATTCAYTAACTCTTCAGACTAATCATAGAATAAAGACTAAATACAAATTAAAAATTTAGTATGAATATATAAACGCATATAATTAAAATTAAATTTTATTTTTTTAATTGTATATTAGATTCTATATAAAATGAATAAGTAATAACTAACATAAAAATAAAATAATATCAAGACATTTGCGTAGATAATTACGCATTTTTGTATAATATAGTATAATTAAATACAATAGACTTCAAATAGTTATATCTTCTAATCAATTAGTTAATTTACTAGATAATTAATATTTTTGTAATATTGAAACAAAAGTAAAATATAATATACTTTCCTCATAACATTTGAAATCATAAAAAAAATAATAAGGGTACACATTTAACAAACTAATAGCATCTGTAAATTCAATACATTTTATTGAATTATCAACTACGAATATAATGTAATATACTAGTATTGTACTATTTACAAAACGTATAATTTAATGTCTGTGTGTAATATTAACACATTGGTTTACACGAAAACTAAATAATCTATGACATTTCACAACTAAAAAAAAAAACAATACAAATGAAACGAGATAAATGTATTTACATGATTATAAATAATAATTATTGTTTCAATACAAAAAAAAATATTTTAATTTGAACGAACACAATGGATTTGGTGTGTTTTGAAAACGATACCTTCTAAGATCCAAAAGTACAAACCTTAATGTTGGTTATTGTAATGTCAAACGATTTTACTACTGTTGTTAGGTGTTTCTTCTACTCCATTTAACATAGTTATGTCACCATTTTCACTAGTCAGTAATATTTTCTCATTTAAATCCTCTGATTTTTCTTCCTTGCCAATTTTAATTTGCGTCATTTCTTTACTTTCTTCGTTGTTGCGTATTTGTTTTTTCCGTTTTCTCTTCTATAATAGAGGGCCAATATAATTAATTAAGGCATTAGAGTAAATATAATTAATAATGTTAAGTTTTTGGCATGATATTGTATTATTTAACTGATTGTATACACGTTTATATAAAAATTAACTTTTAGTAATGTAAGATAGATCTATAAAGTAAGTGGGTACCTTTAGTAMCTATTATAATTGTATAATTAATTAATTTAAAAAGACAATATCTGGTTGTTCTTTAATTAACTTTTTATACAAATCATCCTTGGCATAAATTTTATCAAAATTATGGGTTCCCCACGAACAGCATTTCGACGAGTGCAAGGGGCCCATTGTCTTTTTAAAGATTAAAAATAAAATAAAATTTGAGAAACTGTGTTTTATAGACAGATGTAAACTGGGCCTGTGATTACCTTTTTATTATTGAGCCGCCCCGAAATTTTAGGGCAGTGAAAAAAATCGATTGTAATTTTTATAATATGAAAATTAAAATAAAATAATTTTTGAGAAATAATAGATTGACCATTCGTGGTATCCTTCGATTACGCTAAATTGTTCTTTATATGTATAAATTAATAATTATAATCAGGTAATAGTTAATTTTTGTACAAAGAAATCTGGGAATTTTTTTCCCTGGTTAAGTTTACAATATCCTCTATACATTTTTATGATTATAATAAATGTGTGATATGAATATCTAATTTACTAATAGTATTAAGTGCTCTAGGTAGRTATTATGAATGTGTTTATATAGTGGTAATTTATATTGCATTGCTCGGGACTTAGGATTATCAATAATGCATTATTATCAACTAGACTTTGTTGTATACATTTGAAGCCAATATTAATTTGTTATAAGTAAAAATAAAAAATAAAAAACACTTAAGCACATTATAATGTAATAAATGAATGAATACTAGGTATTAGTTTGTTTCTTACCTGAACTAAGAGCCGTACATAATAACACGGAAAATCAACACATTGTGTACCGTCTTCTTCAGCGTCTATGTAAACACCACGGACTAATATGGAGTTGGAAGAGTTTAATAATACTAGGAAGCCAAAACATGCAATATGAGATACCCAATAACTGGTAATAGGCGCATCTGAAAAGTTAATTATATGTTTTTATAGAATAAAACAAATACATTTAAAAAAAATATATTTTATTTAGAAGTTATTGGTTTATAATCCAATCACTGATGAGAGATCATTTATTTTTTTAGATTTAATATTCCAGATAATTTACTCATCAATAAATTTAATGTTATCAGCTAGATTTTTTAATTTTATAATTACATGATAATTATAACCACGATGTAGAGAAGATATCTTCTTTATATCGTGATCATAACTTATAATTTATATAATTAAAATAGTTATAAATATTTAAAATATTACAACTTAAAACGTCTAGTACTTTTTTTTTTAAACTAAAGCATAAAAAATTTGACTATAGAACACAGATAATGTGTTTCACTTTAAATTTGATATTTAGCTCAATTCCCAATAGTAATAAAAAACCACAGATATGTATGATAAAAACTAATTCAAAATAAATAATTTTTGATGAAAATATGTTTCGTGTTTGTAAGCTAAAGACAATAGATACAGGTGTAGCATATTAATATAGTCCTTTTAATCTTGTAATTCTAAAATAATCGAAAGCATTCATACTGACAATTGACATATACTATAAGTAGGTCCTACAAATACTAAATCTACGTAGATTTCGAGTGTYCTTTGTCATTGAATAAGTAACTGTAATGCGAATGTGTTAAATTTTAATTAAATAATAAATCATACTAATAAAAAACTATTTCAACATTACGCCAAATAACTTTTTGTAAAATCAATGATGAAAAATCTACGAGTCTTGTCTTTATAATTAATAAGGTTCTAGTATTAAAACTAAAACCTTAATACTACTAGCGTTTTTACGACGTACATTTTGAAAAGCTTACAAGACGGCTGCCATGTTGACTGATTATAGGTGTTTCAAGCTTTTGATATAGTTGATTTTAACCTAACGTACCTCATATTTCGAATATAATTCGTAACAGTTCATGGAGCTATTTAAAATCTATTTACATTACCTTCTGGTGTTTTCCTAAAAGGCATCTAATTTCTATTTCCATCAAGTTTCCATGTTCACTCAATAGTTATCTTTCCTATTACAAATAAAGTTAATTTATTTTTCGATAGTATTAAATTCTACATGAAAATCAACTTCCCGAATGACTATGTATTCATTTGCAGACATATTAATTCCATCATAAACATGGCCCTATGTGTTGGACTTATTAGTTATTACTAATCTTTAAAATGCCATATAATGACATTTTTCATGAGACACTTACCACATCACTAATCCTAATAATTAGGAATTATTCCTTAATGGCTCTTCACTTTAACGTCTGTTTTGCGTAAAAATCTCAGTGTGCGCCACTGGAATAAAGTTAGCGTCACAACCTTTAAATTAGCTTATAAAAAAGTATATTCAACCCATCACTTCCGTCAATGATCAAACAATTTGTTAGATTTTATTGAATTCTAATACAAGTGCACCCATATTGATTATTTTGTACATGTTTATTATGTTTAACATCAACTAATATAAAATATAATTAAGCTGTTAACAAGATTATATTCCTAGCTTTTGAGTAGTATCTATACATGGCAAATAACACAACATTCATTTTGTAAACGAAGTCTATAAAATAGTGGGAAGACATGCATTCAATTTATCAATATTAAGTGACAATAAGCCAACCCAATCACACAAAATAGGAATATAACCGTAAGTAATAAAACAAGTTTTTGACAAAAATGCATTTTTTTACTGTAATTAAATAATGTATAACTCTAGGTTCTAAAATATGTAATAACAAATAATACCACAATATCCTGGACATGATATAATTTTTAAAATATTTTGGTTTTTTTTTTAGATATGTACTATTATATTATTGTACTAGGTATTTTTTTTATATATTATGCAGATTTTTAATCAATAAGGTTCCTCATGAATTGTGTTTACACTAATTAAAAAGTATCAATAATAAAGATTTTTTTTATTGACTTGAATTTCAAGTCTTGGTGACAAATAATAACAATTATTACGTAGTGCATCAATATTTTCTATGTTTCATGAACCTTTTAAAATATTTTCACAAATGTGAAGCTAATTATAATATTAACTTATTCACGCCAATAATAAGTACTTATGTCATTATTGCCTTGTAAGTTAAAAGGTAGCAATACTATAAATGATGATATTATTATAATGTTTTATTAAATAAATAATAATAATATAATATCCATTACATTGACCTATTCAATGATAAGGCACAGTCAAACCTATTATACAGCAAAACGAATTCTCTAGTTTTTATGAAATATAAATCTATTTTTTATATATAGATAAAAAAATCGACAAAAAAAGTTATTAATTAAATTATACGTAAAAATAGTATTAATTTATCTCTAGTAAGTAAAACAAATTTCTATTTTACTTATCTTTTAAACTTTTTAGATAAATGGTATAATGTTTTACCATATTTTATATTCATGATGTAGGTACTATTATTAAAAAAAATATTTGATTTATTATTATTATTATATATTTAATCTATATACAAGATAAWACAATGGGTAAATAGATTAGTATAGAATAGGTTCTAGACATGACAACGTGGTTGAAGAGAACGTCCATCGACACAATTTCCAATTTAGAATTTAGGGTRATAAGTTATGTTAGGTATATAGTATATAATGTTTTATAATATACATATACTATGGATTATTTAATTGATCACGTGATCACTTACGTTTGAGATGGAGGATAGAGTCAGGTAATGTGCGAGCAGAGAGTTTGAATATGAGGGGGGGTTAGTCATTCAAGAAGTTATTTTGAAATTTTTGTTGTAGTGATAGGAAGCACTTGTTGAAATTGTTGGTATGTTAAAGTCATAATGTGATAATAAGTATGTAAAGAGCTATTTCTGATGTACCAGGGGGCATTAGAATGGACACGTTGAGTATTTTGATTGGGACGCTTGGAGTTTAGTTAGATTTGAATTATTTGAGATTCCCCAAAGTTGAATATTCTATATGTCATCGCTAGACGTAATATTTATTCGTAAATAAGTGTTTTCTTATTTAAAGAGATTTTTGGCTCTTTTAAAAATATTCACAACTTCCTGTACTTTCATTTTAAATTTATATAAATCCTCAAGTATTAATTGTATATATTTTTATAAATTATATATACCTACTATGTTTATTCAATATCTAACCTGGTATGAAGTGAATGTCCAGCATAGTCCATACTCCTCTCCACACGTTTACAGCACCAAAAAATGAGAATAGTAGGTATACATCCACGTACAATATTCGTTTCAAACCGTTAACTTTGTTAACCAATTTTTTTACAGCCGGTTGTAATGCAAACGCAAGTAGTACAACACTATACCCTAAAACCTACAAATATAAATAATACAATTAGTAAAATTACAATCATATGTATAATCATATCCAATGAATGGTTTACAATTATAATTGTACCATATAACATGAAAAAAATTATTAACAATTTAATAATCTTGTAATTTATAAATATTTTAATCAAAGATAAGCCTGAGAGTAATTAAAAGGATTTCACGTAAGTAGATAAAGTAGTATAATAGTATAATATAGTACCTACTTTAGGAGTATTTTAAATTAACATAATATCTATATACCCAGGCGTGATTTCAATGGTGGAAAGACTAAAAGGCTTTTTCCCCTTTGGAAATGTAATAATATATTATGTAATTAGTTGTATAGTAAATAGTTCATAGATACGTCTTAAAAAACATTGATATAAAATAAAAATAATATTGTTATTAAATTTTACGTATCTAAAATGTTATCTATAATTTATTATGTTTTTGTAAGTACCTACTACAATTTATTATAATAGTATTTTTTCTGAAAAAAAAAAAAAATTTAGCACACCATTTCTCGACTTCAATTTCAGATTTATAAATCCGTGCCTAATTATAATCAGTAAAATATTGCTACAATCAACTATAGTGGTTTCTGGTTGTGTTTTTAGTACTGGAGTTTGTACCAAACATGCATTTTTTTTGGTAATCGTTTATTAAATTAATTAGTCGATCTCCGTTACTAATTACTATTAACATACTTTTTCATTTTTAATAATTTATCATCAAATTGAAGTACCCACTTCGTTGACATTCTAGTTCACCGAAAAATACACCGGTATTATACAATTATTAAAATATTTCAATACTGCAAATAAATATATGTGTTTATTTTAACAGTTTTTCTAGTTCATTATTTTAATATTAATTAAAGCTTAAAATACCTATATACTGAATTCAAAGGATAATTAAAATTTTACAAAATAATTAATTTGTGCATATAAATAATCATTTATAGTTAGTTATAGCCAGGTACTATGAATGAAATTAAATTTTTCTTCAGATTAAAATTAAAAGAAATAAGATATGTCATTGATTGATTAAATATATTATATAGATAGAATACCTTATAATATATCATTGTATAATTTGTATATGCATAATTCTTTATGACCTCTAATTATTTTTCTATTAGTATTTACTTCATTTTTAATTTATTTAATTTTAAATCTTAGGTTTAAAGAGATAATTTTTTATGAATTTCTAACTCAAAATAATTTGCAAATAGTGTGATGTTTAAGTATTTTTTCAAAATTCCCTTGTATTACATTTTCAAGTTTATTGACTGAGTGAAAATATTTTATCGTCTTTAATTTACAAAAAATAAATCTAATTATAATCGAACATTTCATAAGCCTATAAATAGTTCAACATAGTCAAAATATTTTTAAAATGTTATGGCGTGTAGAAAATGCTTTTATACATTTTATATATCTACTGGTTATTTTTCTGAAAACTACTGGGAATTTCATATTTAAACCTTTCCAAATGCACCTATTAGATTTACTTCCCCACCGCAAAAGATACTGAAGTTGAATACCGAAGTATTTACTTATCGTTACACAGACACAAATAATAACGCAAGTGATGTAGAAACCTACTGACTATGTAATTCAATCTTAATATTCATGATTTTTTTTTTTTTTTTGATTGTAGTTCCTCTACTTGGAGCCTTCTGCCCCCTATTAAATCTATTTGTTTAATTTTTATTTTTATTACTATCTATTATCTCTGTTATTCTTATTGTTTTTTTTTTGAAACAGATTGAATAAAACATTGAAAAAACAAACACGAATAAATTTAAAATCCGCACACATCATTGTAAAGTCAACACAATTATCGCTCTGCCCAGAATCTAAAATGTATTACCCTTATCAGTTATCACTCATAAATCACTGACACTTATAATAAGTTCCTTCTAGATTAATAAAAATAAAATAAGTATTTTTTTTTCTGTATTAATTTGGTATACAAGTATTTTAAAGGATTTAATAATATATACGTTTTTATACATAATGTAAACCTAATAACCGCCTAATAATTCGCCGACCTTGCATCCCAAAACATGTTGCATGACAATCAAAATAAACTGTTTAAAATGAGATATAGTAGTATTCTTATCAATGTATTGATAAAAAATAAAAWAAAATATAATAAATAATAATTCATGTGAAAGATTTTACAATAAGAGAATTTTTAAATTCAGCGAACTTGTAATATTGTTCTACTTGTTCTGCATTCATAATGCATTGTAAACGTTGACTATTATTTTTTAAATAGATAGGTATTAAATTGTGAAAAAAAAATTACTATTGAATATTAAAATTTAATTCTATATAAAAAAAGAGAATGTTTGACAGGTATTTGAATATCTTATAAATTATTTTTAAGGACAGTAAATTTAATTAATGTTGTTTTATTTCATATTTGTATAATAGTTATTATAATATTATTATGTAGTATATAGCTCTAATATCAGCGTTTTTTAATTAAACTTCCTTAATGTTTTTCTGACATACCACTGTCACACAAGTAACGGTATACAAAGGTCAAAGATAACAAATCATGATGTAATATTTTCTCAAACATTTTTAATTATTTTAAGTTTCGAATTATTTAATTACTTAATGTACCTATAACCTATTTAATTAATACATCATACATTTTATAATTTTGATTTAATCTCTTCAGTTACTATTGTTGGTGTATACAAATATCCCAACAAGTGACATTATAGCATTATACGTAGTTATATTTGAGTTAAATATATATTTTCTATACAGTTTATACATATAATTCGTTTGATAGAGCAATGGTTGTTATATAGGTACTAAGGTACTATTATATAATATAATTTTGAATGGTTTTACACTACACAACTATACAACACTACATAATATGATTCTCTTTATTTTTAAACCATCTATGGTTGTAATATAGCAAAGTTAAGATGAAAGATTAGCGTGTGTGGCTTGAAAACATTTAATAAATTACAAACTCCGATTACGGTCAATCAAAATACGGAAAATACCAATTAACAAACGTTAAAATAAATTATTGTAGTTTTTTCATTAAGCAGTTATTGTTTTCAACAGGCATTTAACAATTTAAGTTCTTTGCGATCTTGTTCTTYATATTATACTTTCAGTTATTTGAAACAAATATTTAACATATAAGTAGGTTTAACCGTTTAACTTCATCTAAATTAGCATTATATGCAATACATTTGTCCTATAGTTAGCTATATAACAGGCTGAAATCCGATTGATCACAGTTTAATTTTTTCATTAACCAATAATTAAGACGGTTGCAATCAATAACAACATGAATCCAAAGATATACTAAAATGTGACACTGATACGCGTAACGTGGTTGTAATTTTTTAGTTTTTATTCATCGAAATAAATTATTATAAGTTTAAATAAATATTGAAGAAAAAAATAAAATTTCGAACATTTCAATATATCGTCGACGTTTCTATGCATTGCTTAACAATTACAATGTATGTAACCCACCTATAGATACACCATACACGATAATTACGGAATAAATACAAATAGTTATGAATTGCTCTGTTGAATAACAATAAAATAAATTCGATTTGACGTAATAACATTCTAGTTCATCTCAAAAATCAAAATAATAGAATTAGGTAGGTATATGCGCATATCTTATAGATAATAAATAAAAATATAATAAACGGCGGAGACGTATGATATTATATGCGTTAATACTCGAAATATAAAAGTATTTCATATGAAGCATACATGGCTAGGCTATGTTGTAGAAGTACTACCAAAAATTAGCAATGTTGCTTAAAATAATATTTGTTTATTTTTTTTTTTTGTAAGGAGATCCCGCGGCAACATAGGCCATTGGTTGTGGGGTGGTACGGTAGGGGTTATTTTTGTATGTTTGTTTGTAGGTTTTTAAGTGGGTAGGGTTGTAACACGTGTTTGTGTATGTGTGGCAAGGATATGTTGCTAAAAATCCCGGGTGGTCATCCATCCGGGAGCTAGCAACTGCGGCTGGTACGTACGCTCAGTGCGTTTCCGCAGATTGAGCGTACGACCGCGCCTCACCAAGCCACAAAAAAAATATTAGTTCTGTGCTCAATTGGAGATCGTTAAAAAAAAAATATACCGTTTTCAATCGGGTATCATCGTAGATATAAATCTTCGTTCTGTTACTATCTCATACTGGTTTATATCGTTTATTACAATTTACATGGTTTCTATTGTTTTTGATGAAAAAAAATATTAATCCATGCAGATATATAGTTCAGCTGATAAAAAACTTATCCATAAACGGAATAAACAATTTAATCAATACATATCTTTTTTTCAATTGCAGGAAACGATCGTTTTTAATKTTTCATAGTTTAAAATCAGTTTAGATGAAGATATTAAAAAATAAATTATAAGTTCCTAGTAGCTGAACTTTGAAAGTCTGAAATAATAATATTGATACTTTTTATGACAAAACTTTATTAATTTAACACGATTTCATTGAAATAATTTTATAACTTCATCCGTCTATAAAATAAATATTAAAAATGTATACTTACCAATGATAGGATTGCAGATGTGTTACCATCATCCGGGTATAAATAATCGTCCATTAGACTCCAAACACCTCGCCAAATGATAACTACCAATGATCCGATAATACAAACGCTGAAAAAGCTATCCAATACATACAGCCATGATCCAGTACCATCCTGTTATACAAAATAAGCATACATTATAAAATTAATTAATTCGCTCATAAATATAAATGAGTTATCAATAAACAAATATTCGACTTTTCTATAGAATTAGAGGTCTTAGAAGATTTTAGTTTAAATGAAATCGATAGATAGTAAAAACGGCTTTAATCAGATYTTTTAGAATTATGACTAGTCAGAAACTAATACAATATTCTATTTAAAGTTTTATTATATATATTACCATTTGTTCTTCCTTGTAATTAAAAATAATAAGTTATATAGTAAATTATAAAGCAGTACTTTAAATTATTTAAAAGATATTTTATTTTATTTCGTATAAACAACAAACACTATTTTCCTTTAGTAATTTATAGAAATAATTTTAAATACTTCCTAAAGAAATCAATATTCGTATCAATCAAAAATATAAAGTGATTTGGAAGTTACCTATTAACTATAAAGATATTTATAAACTTATAAGTTATAACTAACTACACAGTCTACACTAGTGGTTGGGGTAGTTCAACTCGAATAAACCTGTGGGACCGAAGTGTAGTTACGCTCTTGTAATTAATTATAAATAAAAAATAAAATTATATCTATATTTTATATACATATTTTTATATTTTTACTACTTTTTTTATTAATTACATACTTTACAGAAATTGTTAAAATTAAAAATTATAATTCATTTTTTATTTTTGTCTGTATACTTCCTGTACCTACTTCTGAAACTTTCTTAAAAAAAAATATGTAATCGGTTTGTCGTGATTGTTGATTTAATTGGTAGATTTTATATATAATTGGACATTATCGTGAAAAATAAATTATGATTGGAATACGTGTCGAATTATCACGTAGCCCTATTACTGAGACGGCARAGACTGTACTTGAAAATTCATATATTTAGCAATAGAAGTGTTAAATATTCAAGTCGGAACATTTATAAAAAAAAAACACAAATTTTAATTCAGTTGGCCTTAATAATCTACGACGGTTAACCGTGTTTAAATTAGTATAATAAGACCATTAGTATTTTCTAAAATGACAATGACACTATGGAATCGGTTTTGAACTGGATCAAGATAAATAATTTCGCTTTCCGCAAACGGATGATAAATGATGGGATCTATATTCTAATACATATACCTACCTAACTAACATACAATAAAGACTTTTAATAGAATGAGGGATTCATACACTCTTATGAATGCCATATTACGAACCCAACGACCTTTAAATACTTTGCAGCAATTATTTTTTTACACATAGTTTAATCGTTAAATGGTATATATTTTTAAATTAATAATATATAAATATTATCGTGTATATTATTATTTATTAGTTATAGCCCTTAGGTAAGTTATTTTATTTTATCATACACATCTAATTATTCTATGTTAAAGTTACAAGTTAATGCTTGTTTTATAAATAAGACAGTAGTCATTAGTAGTTTTAAATACTAATAAAAAAATTTTAATCTAGAAATGGTATAATTTAAGAAAAAATAACTATTAAGAATGTTATATGTATTGTGTAATAGCCAATAAGTATTTATAAATATTATTTGTACTTTTCAAACACAAATATAATATAATGATAGCATTGCGTTAAATAATAAATGCCCAATGTATTCAAACTGCATTTTACTTATAATGCGTATTAAATTGTTTATGTGGCTTGGTAAAGTAAGAAATTAAATACTTTAAGAAAAATAAGATATATACTATAGTAAATCGAAAATCGAAAATCAAAAAGGTGGCTAATTTAATATGCAATGGTTAATCGTTGCATACGAAAAACGATTTTGAACGAAGTCGGTTTGTCAGCCTTTATGGTTAAGTATACTTTATGATATTATCGCTGTTAGAGTAGTTTATTTAACTTTTAGTAATAAAGATTAAAAAAAAGGTTAAATAATTTTTTGACGAGACCATTGCATTTAAATATGTCATTGTGTGTATAAAATAAAATAATATTTTAACATAATTATTTATTTTAAAAGTTTCAAGTACCTACATATGAATATAATATTTAAATTACAACAAAATAACTTAAATTGTTATTCTAGAGTTTAAATTTTGATTTATAATGCATATAAAAAATAATCGTGTCCATATATTTCTTATATTATTTGGTTACACTATAAACTACTTATGCAAAACATTTTTTTATAATTTAAATTTTTGTATAGGTAATATGTCAATTATACAAATTTACTTTTCATATATTTTCAACTACAAAATGAATTTCAAATTGTCGAAAGTTTGATGATTTTTTGTCAACATTTGAACTTAAAATACTGATAAAAAAATATTGTGCTCATATATCTTTAATAATTATAAATTAATAAACTTATGAGACCTTGTATTAATTTTTCAATTATTTTAACCCATCAAAAAATTTTATCAACATATTCCGAAAATAAAATTTAAATTTAAAAAAACGAGTCTAAATACTCGCATTTGTAATACAAAATATTACAGAATATATACTMATATCAAAATTTAGTAAAAATTCTTAGTGTTTACGGTTATTCGTTTTTTAATCAAAACAAAATAAATACCTAAATCATTATTTTACGTTTTTTACACGCAAACATTCAACATTTAAACTTTAAATGATCCTCAGAAATTAATGTGAATTTTTCGTCAACTTTTTTTGTTTAATGTAAGGTTACAGAAAAACTAATATTACATTTTAAAACTTTTTGACCGAGTGAAAAATGTTTTATCAATATTTAAGATGATTGAAGAATTCAAGATCATATGTGATCTATGTGATTATTGTCCCCGTCTTACAATCTTACAACAAGCCAAATTTTCGTTTACTAATTACACTATAATTACAATAGTATGCTGTTAGTTTTTAAATTAGAGTGAACTGACTTTTTATTACATTTTTTGGTAAGAACATTATCTGTGCTTAAGCGTTGGATTTTATTTTATATTTTAATTTTCAAACAAATATAAGTAAGTGAAATTAATATAAAAAATAAAAAATGTTCATATCTCGCTTAATCACAGATACTGTTTAAATATTTAGAGCATTCATTCCTAAATTCAATCTCCAAAATATTTGAATATCTGAAATTAATTTGCTGTATTAAAGTATTGGTGTTGAAAAATATACGAACGAAGAAACAGTTTGAGTTATTATTTATACACTTAAAAAGTAATTAAACTATAACCCGTTATTTTGATTTTAAACTTAAAAACTCGTTTATTAGATTTCATTGAACTTTTATGGCCTCGGTTTTACGATACCTCGCATGATCTGAAACTTTTTAGGTGCTTTTTAGGGTGGCTCAATTGTTTTACTTCAAAACTACTGCAACAATTATTATTCTCGATCATGTATAAAAAACACGAGTAGGGCTAATACCACGGCATTACTCTCGTCATTACATAACGTGACTAGGTGATGATGTGCAGATTATTATGAGGCAAGTCTCACTCGAACTCCAATGCGAAACAGCGTTGGCACCTCAAAATATCCATCGTAGTCGTCGGTCAGTATAGCTATTGGGGGAGCAATGATGTTACGCAGGGTCTTCATGAAGGCCATGCTGCATATGCTGATGGCAACGGATGTGGCAACCACTGGCGGTTGGGTGCCCGTCATCTCATCCATAATGTTCCAGATTCCACGCCATGAGTTAATGCAAGAGTATGCAAACGCAGCCGTGTAACTTCTGGACATAACATAATACATAACCGTGTGCTTCCTGGGCTTCAGATAGTTCATGAACCGGTGCTGGAAGAACGTAAATATAAACAAGCCAATGAACCCGATGGTCGCCGACGCGATGGAACTCCACAACTGGTGTCCGGGTAGTAAATATATATCCATCAGCTTCCAAGTTATCCTCCAGTAAGAGACCACTACGGGAGTTATCACTGCCGTGGACAATGCGGCATCAGCAGCCACCAGCGTGGCAGGCCCGTCACCGAGCTCACGTCGCAAAGACGTCATCGCGGCCGGTGTTTAAGATGTTACGATGTCACTTGGATCTCAGGACGGGTGATGGCAGAACAACAACGCTGAGTAATTCGGTAAATTTTTACCGCTGTCGGTTTAGCAGGTCAGATAGAAGCAGCAGCCGATCGGCCGGTTAGTCGTCGTCGGCCATACAGTCATCGTCGTAGAGTATGCCGTGAAAGGATGATACGATGTCGCCGTGATCGCTGCAACACGTGGTGGCGATTGAAGAGACGGTCAGAGGACACAAAGCGGCGCGCGCGCGCTGTTAACTGACGCTGACATGATTGTACACTACAATACTACTGCCGCGGGCGGATGGAACAATTTTACTACTTGCGGCTTTATATCTATCGACCGATAAAAAAATAAAAAAAAAATAAAAATACACTCATAACATTAGACGGTGGCCCATTGTACTGCCCTCCCCACTGACGACAAGTGCAAAATGCTTTTGTCTGGGACATCATTTATGTTGTGTTGACGTCGCCGACGTTCGGTTAATTATGTATGTACCATATATATCCATTATTCATCCATAGGGACAATTATGATTATTATTATTGTCTCTGTAGGTATAACACGTGTATCCGTTGTTTCTTATGGTTCGTGTCATCCTGCTGTCATAGGTGATTTAGAATTATTTCAGTCGAGTCATTAAGAGGTAAAGATCTGTCAATTTTATAATAATTCTGTGATAATGCGTGATAACTAGGTACTTGTACTTCAATTTTTAACGTATTTCATCTTATGAATCACGTGTTAATATATTATAAAGGAAATTATAAAAACAATAATTTTTAGAAGGATCGACATTTTCCTAGCTTAAAAAAATAGCGAAACATAAAAATAGTGGTAATGAAATTACTAAATTCAAATTGAAACTTTTAGACCAAACATATAGGTAGATAGCAACTTATTTATATTATTTTTTAAATTAAAATTATTTTATAAAAATAAAAATAGTGTTATATATAACACATACATATGTATTACACATATAATATTTGCATCCATTTAAGATATCGTTT